CCTTGAGCTGAAGAGCTGAGGGACAGCGCCCAGGCCCAGAGTTCAAGCCCCATGACCGGACCCAAAAAAAAAAACTTTAATTTTTCCCAATATCTTATTTATATGTTAAAAAAAGCAGAATTCAATAGTATCCTATTTGGAAAAGTGAGAAGCTGAAACAACTTCTTTAGTCCACAAACTTTATGAAAATGATGGAAATTGTTAGAATTCATATAGTGAAAGTACATTTTCTCTATGCAAACTGTCTTTTTCAGATTCTAAACAAATCTGTGCTCATGGAGACTGACTCTGTACAAGCCACATTATGTCAAGAAAGAAAAAAAGACCCAATAGAAATGTTACATTCTGGGCAGCTGATAAAAGTCTGTGCCCCAATGGTTCGTTATTCAAAGTAAGTGTTCAATGGCCAGTGAACCAGGACATAATTTCCCTTCTGTGCTCTGGTCTTTTAAAAGTATTTAGAGACCACTCAGTAAGTGAGATCTTCAATTTCCTAGATTTGGTTGGAATCCTGATCTAAAGTCCTCATGCTGCCACACAACTAACTAGTATGTGTAGTCCTGACATTCTGTCTCCTCTTTCTAACACCTAATCTCATCCTAACACATTTTGGTAGGTATGTAGTAATACCTCATTTTGGCTTTAATTTGCTTTTCCTTAATGGCCAGTGATGTTGAACACCTTTTTACGTGCTTATTTTTCATGTATATTTTTGTTTGTTTGGTTTGGTTACCATCCATATATTTTTTTTTCTTTCTCTCTTTCTTTTTTTGGCGGTCGTGGGACTTGAACTCTGGGCCTGGGCACTGTCCTTCAGCTCAAGGCTCAAGGCTAGCACGCTACCACTTGAGCCACAGCACCACTTCCAGGTTTATTTCTGCTTATGTGGTGCTGAGGAATTAAACCCAGAGCCTCATGCATGTGAGACAAGCACTCTACCACTGAGCCACCTTCCCAGCCCCCATATATTTTTAAAGAGATATTTCTATCTCTTTGGCCTAAATTTTAATTAAATTATTTGTTTTAAAAACTGTTGAAGTTTCTAAATTTTTTGTTATAAAATACATATCACAGAGCACACTTTTTTCCATTTACTGGATATAGACTCAATATCCTAAGGCTATTCAAGTTACTCCAGCCCAATTTTTTTGAAAATCCTTCTCTATACAATTATGTTTTGCTTCTTGACCAAAACAAAAATCAGGGTTTGTTAATTTTTTGCACTGATTTATATGTCCATCCTTCTACCTGCACCACAGGGTATGAATTACTGTATGTGTAATAAGTTTTGACATTAAGGACTTGATCCTTCTGGTTTTACTTCAGCAATTCTTGTTTATTCCCTTTCTACATAATAGTACTCTGGAGGCTGAGATTCAGAGGCTCATAGTTCAAGTCCAGCTCTAGACAAAATTTTCATGAGACTTCATCCTGACCAGTAAAAAACTGGGAAAAGTAACACATGCCTGACATCTCAGGTCTGCAGGAAACACAAATAAAAGAATGAAGGTCCAGGTCAATTTGAGTAAAAAGCAAGACCCTATTGCAAAAATAACCAAAGCAGAAAGGGTTGGGAGCATGGCTAAAGTGATAGAACACAAGACTGGCAAGCACATGGCCCAGTACCACAAAAGAAGGAAACAAATGAAGAGGGAATGAGAAAGAGAGGAGCACACCTAGGGTAAAGATTGTGTGAAACTTGTATATCAGTTGTGTTTTGGAAACTCAATTTTTTTCATGAGCAGTTCCATATAGGGTAATATTTTTAGTTTTGGTGTCTATATATTCATTACAAGTATGTAGAAATACAGTTGATTTTTGAGTATATATCTTACATTGTGCAAACTTGAGCTTGACTTTCTGATTGTCAGGGGTTCTTTTGTAAATTCCTTACTATTGTCTTTATAAATAGTCTTGTCATTTACAAACAGGGACAGTTCTATTTCTTCCTTTTGACCATGTCTTTTTTTTCTCATGCCTTATTGTACTGACTAGAAGTTTCATCACTATTGAATGAGGATGATTAAGTGCAGATAGCCTTTCCTTCCCAAGAAAAAAGCATTATACTGGATTTTTTGCAAATATTCTTTATGAAGTGAGAAAGTTCCTCTCTAGTGCTCTTTTCTTGAGATTTTTTTTTTAAATCATGAGTAGGACTATTTTGTCATTGCTGTTTCTGCATTATTTGATGTTAACATATACTGTAGGCAGTAGTGAAAGTTCCCATTTCACATTGGTTGGGTTGTTCTCATAACTTCAGGGCAGTCCTGGAAGTCTTGGCTTTCCACAGGCTTCTCACAGCACACCTAGCTGGGAGGGAGAGAGTGCCTTAGTACTGTTTAGAAGATATGGGAGTATAGATTCTCTCACATTGTTTCCACTGATCTAGTATAGATGAACTTTCCAGATCCCTACAACCTTCTTGTACACTGTGATAGTGGATATTGGAGTACCTTGCTATAGCCTTGGAAGGGTAGAAGTCTGGGTTCCTCACTCAACTTTTCCAGGTAGTGCTGAGACCATAGTTTCTTCTATAGTAGTTCACTGGAGTAGAACAATATTGTCCAAAAGCTTTCTATCTTCCTAGACTTTCCCTTTCCTAGCCCTTTGATTAAAGAGAACACTTCTGTGTGGCTGCTTTATGTATACCTACTGGTGATTGCAGTTGGCCATATCTTAGGCAAAAAGAAACATGCCACCCTCCCAGTTCTTAGGACCTGAGGTCATTAAGCCTATCTGCCCTGTTTACCTTTCAGAGTTTTCCTATGATTGCTTTTTATTTAATATCCAAGGTTCTTAGTTATAAATTGCAGGAAAACTAGGAGGAAGTATACCTACTCCATCTTTACATAGAACTTTCCCTGCTAAATATTTAATAATTAACCAAATCAATGTGCAAATTCACATTATAATGTTTTCTAAATGCATGATTAAAGTTTTATGTGCTGACAGGTTGGCTTTTAGAACACTAGTAAGAAAATACTGCTGTGATTTGTGTTATACACCAATGATAGTGGCTGCTGATTTTGTCCGATCTGTAAAAGCCAGAGACAGTGAATTTACCACCAACAGAGGTATGTGAAACTGTTTGCTGACTTTTTAAAGCTTAACAAAAAAGATAATATTTTACTGTCTTTTGTATTTTAAGTGCCATAATGCTTAGTAAATAATGCCTCTTAGTCGTCTGTAACACTGTAAAGACTGCCTTTTATAAGGTCTGACCTTCCTGGACTATTAAAATAAATTCCTGTCTCACTGCTCCTAGTCTTGTCCCATTCCAAAGAATCCTCCAAATAGCCCAAAGAAACCTCTGTCTAAAATGTAAACTTGTTCACGTTTATTTCCTGCTTGGAACTGGGTATATAAGGTAGTGGTTTTCAGTGTGATCCCTAGAAGAGAGGCATTACTATCTTATGGAAACTTGTTATAAATGAACTTTTTTTTTTAACCTCACTAACCTTACTAAATGAGGGTGGTAATCCAGTAGTGTATTTTTAAAAAGCCATCCAAACAATGATGGACTTGCTAATGGTTGAGAACCATTAAATTAAAGACTAAAATTCCTGTACCAAGGATAATATGCAAAGTCCTCACGATCCACTAAACTTTATTCTTAAAAAAAAATAAAAATAAATTAACTAAGTATCTGAACATGCCTTGTACTCTCCCACTTCCCTACCTAGAATATTCTTCTACTCGTGCCTATCCTCTCTGGCAACCTGTCAAAAGTTAATCCAACTGTCAGTTTGTACCCAAAGAACCTTTTCTGATTACTCTCTACTTGTGCCCTCTCTTATAAGCACAAGCTCTATTGTTGTACTTAGAGCTGTTGTACTATATTATCCTATATCCTTCCCTCTCCATCTATGTTATGGGCTCCTTAAAAGCTGGAGCTACCGGGCACCGGTGGCTCACACCTGTATTCCTAGCTACTCAGGAGGCTGAGATATGAGGATCCCAATTCAAAGCCAGCCCAGGCAGGACAGTCCGTGAGACTTATCTCCAATTAATCACCAGAAAACCAGAAGTGGCGCTGTGGCTCAAGTGGTAGAGCACTTGCCTTGAGCTGAAGAGCTGAAGGACAGCGCCCAGGCTGAGTTCAGACCCCACACCGACCAAAAATAAAAAGCTGGAGCTGTAGAATAACTTGATTTGTATTTTTATTATCTAACAGTGTTGAAAATAGAGCAAGAAATGATAGTTACATTAAAATTCTGTAACTAGGTACAAAAGGGAAAAGAAAACATAAAACTTTACCATCACAGATATGCAAATCACTGGATTGCTATAGAAAACTTGGATTACAATAACTGAGGTAATGACTTAAGCACCTGAGTTTGGACACACACCCAGTGAATCTCCTATATGTCCTTCTCACAAAAGCCTTTGAAATGTTAAAAATACATATTCCATAGTTTGTTAAGTAAATGAAGGTGTGGGAAGAATTTGTTCTAGGGAAGCTCTGGTACATTTGGCTACATTAATTTTCAACTTTTATATCTAAGTGCACAAGTTCACTGAAAAAGAACTAGAAAAAATTATGATAGTCAGCATGGCTAACTTATTTCCTAAAAAACATTATAGTTGATAAATTATTAGTTGATAATAAAAAATAACAGAATTGCACATAGAGAATGTAAAAAAAATGAGCTCATGGCAATATACCAGTGGTAGATACAGACTATAAGTTATTAAAAAAAACCTTCATAGTAGATAATTTTATAATACTTGTCACAATGTTAAATGTCTATTCACTGTACTTATCAGAATTTGCCATAGTAATATACTCACAAAAGCATGTGTACAAGAATGTTTTTATGGGGCTGGGAAGGTGGCTCAGTGGTAGAGTGCTTGCCTTGCATGCATGAGGCCCTGGGTTCGATTCCTCAGCACCACATAAGCAAAACAAAAAAAGCCGGAAGTGGCGCTGTGGCTCAAGTGGTAGAGCGCTAGCCTTGAGCTGAAGAGCTGAGGGACAGCGCCCAGGCCCAGAGTTCAGGCTCCACAACCGGACCCAAAAAAGAATGTTTTTATTACAAGAGTCACAAATAATAATCTAGAAATAGTATACTGTTCCATCCTTACAATGGAATGTGCCACTATCTAGAAGTTCCATCTGAATGCCTCTCTTAGGAGAGAAAGAATATGTAAGAAATGAAGAGTGGTAGGCATAGCAGTATCTATATAACATTCACATTCATTTTTACTTCATATACTTAGAATAATTCAGGAATGTGTTGCTAATTCCCATTTTTAGAAAGGGATTCTCTTCAACAAGTATTGGAAGATTTCACCAAGTGTTGACTTTTCAGTTTAAGAAATTTTTGAATTTTTCTTACTATAAATTACTTTTAACTAAAATGTTCCTTTAATCTTATTTGCACAAATGTTCATTTGGCTAAAAATATTGTCATTTTGTCTGTTTCATACATTACAGTGATGTGTGTGTGTGTGTATGAGAGATTTTCTTTTTCTTGTGGATTTTAACATTGAGCTATTCATTTTATCAGGTGATTGCCCATTGATTGTTCAGTTTGCTGCTAATGATGCAAGACTGTTATCTGATGCTGCTCGTATAGTCTGTCCTTATGCGAATGGAATAGACATTAACTGTGGTTGCCCTCAGAGGTAAAACTCAAAGAAATTGTAAATTTTTCAAAACAGGGAAAAGAAAAATTGGGTCAGGGAAGGTAGGTCAGTTGTAGAGTGCTTGCCTTGCATGCATAAGGCCCTAGGTTTGATTTCCCAGCACCACATAAGCAGAAAAAGCCAGATGTGGCACTGTGGCTCAAGTGGTAGAGCGCTCACCTTGAGCTGAAGAGCTGAGGGACAGCGCCCAGGCCCAGAGTTCAAGTCCCATGACCAACAAAAAAAAAAATTGTAAACATGGCAAAGTACCTTTCTAATTTTTCAAAAATTAAAAAGGACATGAAGCACCAGGTTTCTAAACAGGAAGAGATGAAAAATACAGGACAAGTGATGCTCTAGAAACATAACTGAAAGGTCTTTACTGGTGGCCAAAATGATGTATAGACCCTTCAGAGGTATTTCCTTTCTCTCATCACTAGCATGTTTTGGTGAATCTGTCTAATCATCAAGTAGTTAAATCTAATGTTTATGGCAGTCCATATTGTTGTGGATTGTGGTTATGGATTAGTATCATTGCTAAGCCAGATATGCTTGCTCTAAAAATCAATTCTATTATTTGGGAAATACCATATTTTTCCCCAAGTAATTTTCCTTACAGAAGCACCTTATAATAATCACCTCCTCTCCCCTCCCCGCCCCCCAATATCACAATTACTTGATTAAGTAACTGGGTTTGACTAGGATACACTTAATCTGACAATAATGTCTCTGCTGTGCTGGCATTGTGTTAGAATTATCTGTCAATACTTCAAAATGTGTCCAAAGAATAAAGTAAGGGTTTTAAGTGAAGGATAATCCAAATTAGATTAGACATATTTATATACTCATTAGGAGCATTAAGTAGGCTGATTAGTGGTATTGGAATGCTGTAAGCCAAAAATATCTTACTAGTATTGAGACTAATAAAATCTCTTGTTATACACAATGAACATCAAATTTGGAATTTTAAAAATTTGAAGTAATTGTGGATAATTACAAATACTTAAATCTGTTTGCATGAATGAATTGTTCAATATTCTCACTTGCCAGAGAAAATGCCTTTCCCGCAGAACTTTTTGAACTAGGAATGTGTTTCATAACAACATTGATCCACTTAGAAATGTTAGTCTATGAATTTTGAAAATCTGCCTTATTCTCAATATCTAGGGATATTTCAGTGCTTTTAGATTTTCTCCCTCCCTTCTAGCTGCTTACAATCCATTTCTTATATTTGCTCTATTAGGTGGGCAATGGCAGAAGGTTATGGAGCTTGCTTAATAAACAAACCAGAGCTTGTTCGAGATATGGTGAAACAAGTTAGAAATCAAGTGGAAAACCCCAGGTTTTCAGTTTCGATTAAAATAAGGTAAAAACAATATTTTAATCTATTGACATGATAGTCAATTACTTAGGAAATAAAGCAACATTCATTTTGTATAGTGATATAGGAATGTTTGTCCTGTTAGCTGGCATATGGAAAACTTGAAACAAGACATACTCCTGTGTAATTCTGAATATCTTTTTATTTTAACAAAAATTTTAATATCTCTATTAAAAGATTTCACTAATCCTCAACATTTTAAAGTACTATTAATACTACTAAATATATGCAGTACTGAGTAAGAAATAGGAAAGATTTTTTGCACTTAAATTTTACAAAACAAACCAACAGTCCATTTTTTATTGTTGTCAACACATTTATTTCCAGATAAAGTTTTTATGTTCTTCCATTTAGGGGTTGGGACTTGCACTTCAAAAGTTAAGTTAGCATTTTCCCATTCATCTGTGACAGTACTTTGACAGTCCTTGATTTCCCAAAGCCAAAAGGGAGAAGCAGCAGGTAGAATAAAATTTGTCATCTTATTATTATCAATAGTGAAATAACTAAATATTAGGTCTTGGGTAGGAACTGATGCCTGAACAAACCTCATTAATGGTGGCATGGAGTAATATACCAAAGATAACTAAATAACATGAGGGTGAACTACAGTTTCAGTTAATTTTAGCATTGAAATTTGTGTATGACAGATAAGTATAATTTTGAAATTGTAGGATCCATGATGACCTTACAAAAACTGTAGATCTTTGTCGAAAGGCTGAAGCAACAGGAGTTTCCTGGATTACAGTCCATGGAAGAACTACTGAAGAAAGACATCAGCCAGTCCACTATGATGCCATTAAAATGATAAAGGAAAATGTGTCTGTACCTATAATTGCTAATGGAGATATTAGAAGCTTAAAAGAAGCAGAAAATGTGTGGCAGATTACTGGAACAGATGGTAAGAATAAGTTACTTGGATTTAAAAAAAAAAAGTGAAAATAGAGGACTGATGTTTGATTTTCATTATTTATTTAATAATGAGCCATATTTTTCAGCTCAAGAATATTTTTAAATGCTAGTAATTCTCCTTAGAAATGATAGATTATCTGCTACCATTATATCTAGTGGCCAGTTAATAATCTTCTAGATAGCCTATTAGGAAAACACATGGATTTAAAATGATAGTTAATGAATTTGAATTACCACAGACGCCAAAGTAACACCAGGATTTCCATGTAGTTTCATTATATTATTGGCATGCTAAGCCCTATTTTGACTATTGAATGATGAAAGAATGAACTTCACTTTAAGGAGTCTAATTCAGGATAATCGGGATTTTCCCTAAAGAAAATCAAAGACCTAGGCTAGACTTCTTTGATTGCTTAATATGAAACTCTAAAGAAAAAAGAATTGTATAAGTACATGTTTATTTTCCTTGGTTAACAAGGGGTACCTTAATTAATCAGACTAATTTGTAATGAAGGCCTTGTGAATCCTTGTAATATTATTTGATTTTTTAGTATTCTCTGTTTCATTGTATCAGAATAACCATGTTTCAAATATGGTGTGCTTTACTTTGTAGGTGTAATGGCTGCAAGAGGACTTTTAGCCAACCCAGCCATGTTTGCTGGATATGAGGAAACCCCACTGAAATGTATCTGGGACTGGGCTGACATTGCTCTTGAACTTGGAACTCCTTTTATGTGTTTCCATCAACATTTAATGTACATGATGGAAAAAATAACTTCAAGGCAGGAAAAAAGAATATTTAATGCTCTGTCAAGCACATCAGCAGTTTTAGATTACCTTACAGACCATTATGGCATTTGACTGGACTTTCTAAATTATTTTAACTGTAATTTTTTTTGTCTTTTCTTTTTTGGTACTGGAGATCAAACCCAGTTGCACTTTGCTAGGTAAGCACTTTGCCACTGAGTTACATCCCAGCCCTAAATCATTTTAATATATACTTTTATACCAACAATGAAACTATGCAAGATCACATCTTGGCTTTTATTTTAAATCAGTAGTTCTCAAAGTTTAGTGCACACCAATTCCTCAAGCTAGGTACTGGTGGTTCACATGTAGCTACTGATGAGGCCAACTCACGCATACATTTGAGATCCCTTCTTGGCTAATAACTGTGTGCAAGCCTGTTATTCCAAGCTATGTGGGAAGCTGGACTGGTTACAGGCTAGTCTAGGCAGAAGGTCACAGGAAAGCTGGTTATAATAGTGTATACCTGTCGAAGCTCTAGTGGGAAGCATAAAACAGATGTTAGCCTTTGCAAAAATTGAGATCCTATGTCAAAAATAACCAGTACAGCTGGGCTCACTTCTGTAATTCTAGCTACTCAGAAGGCTGAAATCTGAGGATCATGGCTTGAGTCCAGCTCTGGCAGAAAAGTTCCTTATCTCCAGTTAACCAGCAAAAAGCCAAAAGTGGAGGTGTGCTCAAGTGTCTGAAAGCTAGCCTTGAGCAAAAAGCCAAGTGAGATTATGAGGCCCATAGTTCAAACCCCCAGTACCAGCACCAAAAAATAAAAAGTAAAAATAACCAATACAAAAAAAAGCTTGTTGAGCCATTCCTCAGCAGTAGACTACCTGCCTATCAAGTGTGAGGCCAGGAGTCAAACTCCAGTACACTGAAGGGAAGAAGGAACACTTTTTAAAAGTCAGGCCCCTATCCTATCCTCAAACGATCTTGGATCCATTCTTACATAAAGCCAGAGTTTTATTTTAAAGAGCCAGGTAGTACAAATATCCTGGTGGTCCTAGGTCCAAACATTGACAGATTCTACTCTGGATCTCTATACATGGAGCAGAGGGTTCTAAAGAATCATGTTTTTAACCTTTTTAAATAAATATTTTGGCACTAAAGTGTGACTCATATCTACAAGTTAACAAGAAGTTTGTGTGTGTGTGTGGTGTGTGTGTGTGTGTGTGTGTGTGTGTGTGTTGGTCCTGGGGCTTGAACTCAGGGTCCTGATTCTGTTCCTGAGCTTTTGTGCTCAAGGATGGTGCTCTACAATCTGAGCCACAGCACCACTTCCAACTTTCTGGTGAAAAGTCTTGTCCAGGTTGGCTGCGAACCCTATTCCTTCGACCTCAGCCTCTTCAGTACCTAGGATGCCTAGCAAGAAGTGCATTCTTCGTAAGTGCAGAGAAGCAGTAGAGCAAGTGCCAATCCATAGGATGCCAAAAAGAACAAGAAATTCTGAATTTTACTCAGGGCTTACATTAAAATTTTATATTGGAAAATTAAACTGATAAACTAATTATATACCTTAAGGTATTAGGAATTTTGTGTGAGGGGATATAAATGTGGTGTTATCTATAATTTAAGATTCCACACAAGTCTTAAGTGATATCAAATTTAGTACATTGCAAGCATTCGAGGCCCTTACAGGAATGAGAGTTTGATAAATATACCTGTAACTAGATTACAGTTCTTCAGCATTTAACTATGAAAAATTTAGTAGCTAATGTAAAGGTGATTATATTTGAAATGCTTTCTACAGAATTGTTGCCAAGTTTTAATTTTAAAAACTAATTTTCATTCTCTGTTTTTAATGTTGTTACTTTTATGCCTCTTAGCAATGGATAATAATAGCAACTTGCAAACTCCTGGGGTTTGGAAGTGTATAGTAAGTTTTGTTATTGGTGAATGTGCTCTATCAGTATTAGCTGAGGTTAAACTAAATTCACTCATTTATTACCCAGTTATCAACAGTAAAAGTATTAAGGAGACAACTAAAACTGCTGGATAGTTTGAGACTATCAAATGAATCATTTGGTGGGGGGGAGGGGAGGGTCCGGTCGTGGGGCCTGTACTCTGGGCCTGGGCGCTGTCCCTCAGCTCTTCAGCTCAAGGCTAGCACTCTACTACTTGAGCCACAGCGCCACTTCTGGCTTTTTTCTTTTTGCTTATGTGGTGCTGAGGAATCGAACCCAGGGCCTTATGCATGCAAAGCAAGCACCCTACCGCTGAGTCAGCTTTCCAGCCCCCCCAAATGCATCATTTTTTAACGGAAGCATTGTGCTGCCTCACTGCTTTCACTTTTCAATTAATGCGTTTTAAAAATTAACTGGCATTTTCATTTGGTAGGAATAGTGTAAAAACAAATATAGGCAGGACAATGTTCAGTCTTCCCAAGAAGACATTTCTGATGCAGTCCATATGGGGGGAGGGGGAGGCCTTATCTAATAATTTGAGAATACATTATTCACACATTTTGAAAATCTGGAAAATAGTGCTTAAATAACTATACCCATACAGTATCCTGGAGTTCACTGCCTCTTCCTAGTCTATGGACAAGCCTAAGTACAGATCTCAAGAACAGAATGTTGCACACACACGGGGATGAGCCTCGGCTTTGTTCTCATAGCTCAACGCTGTTCCATGGCCTACTGACCACCCCGTCTGGGGACCCCTCCTGGTTCTCAAGAAAACCACCCCTGACCTTAACTGAAAGTGCAGGGCAGTCAGCGTCAGAAGGATTTCCCCTCCCCTAAGTCCCAAACAGGACATTTGCATTATAAAGCCTCAACAGGATAGGACAAAGAACTGCCACAGATCTCACCTTCCAATGTATAGAACCCTGAACCCCACTTGCTCCCCGCCCCCAGCTCCCTGTTCGTACGAACCCCTGGGCTCGGGCTACAGGGGGTCCCTCTGCAGCCCTGACTAAAGCCTGTTCTGGTCTGTTGAGGTCCGCTTGATCTTTCCTTGACGAGCCCGGGTCCCGACCCCGTAGGTAAACAGCTCAGTCCCGGACGTGGAGAAGTTTGCACCCGAGACAACTAGCGTTTCTGTCTGCCCGGGCCCTTCGCGGGCTCCAGCCAGCGGAGCTCTTCCGGGAAGCTTCCGTCTGCCCTTCCGCCCCCGGCCTCGGAGCACCGCGAAGCCAACCCCGCCCCGCAAGTTGCACCCGGGGGAGCCCCACCGTGGCGTCCGAAACTCCGTCGCCCTCGGACCCCGCCCCCAATTAGGAAACAATTGCCGCCAATAAACGCCGTCGCGCCGCCTGTGACCTCACGTGGGGGGGGGGACGTCTGACGTCCGCGGGTCGGCGGCGCGGACCTGCGCGGGGACCGGGCGGGCGGCCGCGGGGTG